AACATGGTAAACAAAGAGTTGGAATGTTTTTCAGCAAGTTGGAGTATTACAGCCAATAAACAAGGAACTATTTTTAGGTTTTTTAACATGGTAAACAAAGAGTTGGAATGTTTTTCAACAAGTTGGAGTATTACAGCCAATAAACAAGGAACTATTTAGGTTTAAAGGATTTAACATGGTAAACAAAGAGTTGGAATATTTTTCAGCAAGTTATTACAGCCAATAAACAAGGAACTATTACAGCATGGTAAACAAAAGAGTTAAACAAGGAAATTACAGCCAACAAACAAGGAATTTAGGTTTAAAGGATTTAACATGGTAAACAAAGCAAGTTGGAATGTTTTCAATAAAGTTGGGTTTAATTAGGTTTAAAGCCAATAAACAAGGAACAGCCAATAAACAAGCAGGTTTAAAGTTGGAATGTTTTCAGCAAGTTGGAGTATTTAACTATAGTTTAAAGGATTTAACATGGTAAACAAAGAGTTGGAATGTTTTCAGCAAGTTGGAGTATTACAGCCAATAAACAAGGAATGTTTTCAACATGGTAATAAACAAAACTATTTAGGTTTTACAGCCAATAAAAAAGGATTTAACATGGTAAACAAAGAGTTGGAATGTTTTCAGCAAGTTGGAGTATTACAGCCAATAAACAAGGAACTATTTAGGTTTAAAGGATTTAACATGGTAAACAAAGAGTTGGAATGTTTTCAGCAAGTTGGAGTATTACAGCCAATAAACAAGGAACTATTTAGGTTTAAAGGATTTAACATGGTAAACAAGAGTTGGAATGTTTTCAGCAAGTTGAGTATTACAGCCAATAAACAAAACTATTTAGGGTTTAAAGATTTAACACTAAACAAGAGTTTTTAAAGGATTTTTAACAAAGAGTTAAACAGCAAGATTTGAAAATGTTTTTTCATGGCAAGTTGGTTTTCAGCAAGTTATTACAGCCAATAAACAAGGAACTATTTAGGTTTAAAGTTTAACATGGTAAACAAAAGTTGGAATGTTTTGGAATGTTTTAAAACAACTATTTGGTTTAAAGGATTTATTAAACAAAGAGTTGCCAATAAACAGCCAATAAACAAGGAACTATTTAGGTTTAAAAGGATTTAACATGGTAAACAAAGAGTTGGAATATTTTTAAAGGATTTAACATGGTAAACAAAAGTTGGGTTTTAAGTATTACAGCCAATAAACAAAGGAACTATTTAGGTTTAAAGGATTTAACATGGTAAACAAAGAGTTGGAATGTTTTCAGCAAGTTGAGTATTACAGCCAATAAACAAGGAACTATTTATTTTAAAGGTTTAAAAGTTGGAATGTTTTCAGCAAGTTGGAGTATTACAGCCAATAAACAAGGAACTATTTAGGTTTAAATGTTTAACATGGTAAACAAAAGAGTTGGTATGTTTTCAGCAAGTTGGAGTATTACAGCCAATAAACAAGGAACTATTTAGGTTTAAAGGATTTAACATGGTAAACAAAGAGTTGGAATGTTTTCAGCAAGTTGGAGTATTACAGCCAATAAACAAGGAACTATTTAGGTTTAAAGGATTTAACATGGTAAACAAAGAGTTGGAATGTTTTTTCATGGCAGCAAGTTGCCAATAAACAAAAAACTATTTAGGTTTAAAGAATTTAACATGGTAAACAAAGAGTTGGAATGTTTTGCAAGTTTGGAGTATTACAGCCAATAAACAAGAAACTATTTGAGGTTTAAAGGATTTAACATGGTAAACAAAGAGTTGGAATGTTTTTTCATGGTAAACAATGTTTTCAGCAAGTTTATTACAGCCAATAAAAAGGAAACTATTTAGGTTTAAACAAAAGGAATGTTTTAACATAGATTACAGCCAATAAACAAAACAAAAGTTTAACATGGTTGGAATGTTTTTTCAGCAAGTTGAGTATTACAGCCAATAAACAAGAAACTATTTAGGTTTAAAGGATTTAACATGGTAAACAAAGAGTTGGAATGTTTTCAGCAAGTTGGAGTATTACAGCCAATAAAACAAGGAACTATTTAGGTTTAAAAGTTGGAATATTTTCAGCAAGTTGGATTTAACATGGTTTAAAACAAAAGAGTTGGAATGTTTTTCAGCAAGTTGGAGTATTACAGCCAATAAACAAGGAACTATTTAGGTTTAAAAGGATTTAACATGGTAAACAAAGAGTTGGAATGTTTTCAGCAAGTTGAGTATTACAGCCAATAAACTATTTAGGTTTAAAGATTTAAATGGTAAACTATTGGAATGTGGTTTAGGTTTAAAGGATTTAACATGGTAAACAAAAGAAGTTTTGGAATGTTTTTTCATGCAAGTTGTTTTCAGCAAGTTGGAGTATTACAGCCAATAAACAAGGAATTATTTAGGTTTAAAAGTTGGAATGTTTTAACATGGTAAAAACAAAACTAGTTGGAATGTTTTTCAGTTGCAAGTTGCAAGAGTATTACAGCCAATAAACAAGGAACTATTTAAAAGGTTTAAATGGTAAAACAAAAAGAGTTGGAATTTAACATGGTAAACAAACAAGGAACTATTTGGAATGATTTTTAAACAAAGAGTTGCAAGTTCAGCAAGTTGAGTATTACAGCCAATAAACAAAGGAACTATTTAGGTTTAAAGGATTTAACATGTAAACAAAGAGTTGGAATGTTTTCAGCAAGTTGGAGTATTACAGCCAATAAACAAGGAACTATTTAGGTTTAAAGGATTTAACATGGTAAACAAAAGAGTTGGAATGTTTTCAGCAAGTTGGAGTATTACAGCCAATAAACAAGGAACTATTTAGGTTTTTAAAACAAAGAGTTGGAATATTTTACCTTTCAGAGTCAAGCCAGTTCTAGCCAATAAACAAGGAATATTTAGGTTTAAAGATAATGGATGCTATGTTGACCAGATTGACAAGGAGAGTTGGCATTCATTGATGATATCATTGGTTTAAAGGATTTACATGGTAAACTCAGGATGAACTTTTGCATGGTAAAGGTTGAATGTTTTCCACATTTGATCAAATTCAGCAATATGGATTCCAAAAAAAAATGTGCATTTTGTTTGGACATAAATTAAGTATCTGAGCTTCATATTTAACAAAAGTAGTTGTTGGCCAGACCCAGAAAATATCTCTGCCATAAAGAACATGCCTGCACCGGCAAATATGAAAACTCTACATTCTTTCCTTGGCAAATACACTACAGTGCATTTTTGTCAGAACTTCATCAGACCAGTGCTTTGCTCAACATTGTTTTAAAAAAGGATGTACCATGGAAATGGTCTCTCAAATGCCAGTCTGTTTTTAAAAAGATAAAATGCTTACTTTTTTTGAAGATGTTGCTCACAGACTACAACCCATCCATGGATATTATTGTAGTTTCAGATGCTTCTCTTTACAGTACTCGGCTGTCATGCAAAAGTTTTAGACCATTTTAAACTATCATCAATTTCTCATAATTGGCATAGACATAGATCAATTATAGCTGAGTAGTGAGTTCAATCTTGACTTGGTACTCTATAATTTTGTCCTTATGCCACATCTAAGCTACAGTTAATAAATTGATATATATATATTAGAATAATTTGTGGAATAACCTAAATGATCCTTTGAGGAAACCAATTAGATAAATCAAAGAAGTTATTGTTTTCAGTTGGTATATATCTGATTTTTGATTTTTTTTTGTTGCACTAACATAGAAGCTATTTTTCTTGAAATTGTTTAGAAATATGTGAAGGAATCAATAACTTGAATTCATTGCTGTGAAGGTAGCTGAATGATTATTCATGTGTAAAATGGAATCGTAGAGCAAAATTCAAATTCTGTCTACTTTCTTCACTTTGTTTTGATGCACTTGAATAAGACATGAAGCCATCTTTCTCCAGATATAGATTAAATAACATGCTAGACTGAGTTATGTTTCCTTGATTGGACAACCAGTCTAGGAAAAGGATAACTCTGACTTAAATCCAGTCTGTACTCTATAAGTCTACTATGACACCAAATTCTACTAGAGTTGCAAACACATACAGTGCTTCAATGACACTAAAAGAACTTGTGATTGTAACTGTATGTCACTCAAAGCAATCAACACTCAAAGACAAACATTTATTTAACAAAAAATGATTAAAAGAATAACAGATATTTATCACCTGAGAGGTGCAAAGCAAAAACATTTGTGACACGTAAACGGTATTCCAATAATTTGGACTGATTTTAAATGTGAATTAAGTTTAACCATTTAATGATTTTTTTTATTTTTCTTTCAGATTTAACAACTTAAAGCTTTTGAAATTGCAACCATGGAAAGAATAACAATCAAACAATGTGTTAAAGTTATTGAAGCCTATTACAAAAATGCACGTTCAAACAGAAATGCATTTCACGCACTTTGCAATCTTTTTGGTCAACATAATCGACCAACAGAGAGTGCAATTGGAAACAATGTAACATTGTTGTAGAGAGGTTCAATTCCTGTGTATGATGACAAATAGAGTTGTCTGGATTTTGGGACAGATTCTCGTGCACTGCAGCAATGTTTTCAGCTGAACAGCATAAACGAGCACACAATGGTGCTTTCACATCTGCCACTGACCCAGTTTGTTTGAATTTATGAACAATTTTTCCAGTTGCATTCTTGAAACTTCAACACATTGTTTGATTGCTAATCTTTCCATGGTTGAAATTGCTAAAGACTTAAGTTGTTAAATCTGAAAGAAAAAGAAAAAAATCATTAGACGCTTAAACTTAATTCACATTTAAAATCGGTTCAAGTTATTGGAACACCCTTTATAAACACTCAATATCAGACACATGGCAAATCTACAGAATACTATTTCCATACACATTTGCTTTTTTGTCTTTTTGGTTTTCCTTATCAATATTTCCTTATGAGGGAACGGCTAATATTACCATTAACATAATTATATTGAATAATTTTGAAGAGAGAGAGGAATTTTTAAAAAATATTTCTGAAAAACATTTTATTCAAAAATATATTAATTTCTTACAGCCATATCATATTGAAACACTAGTTCTCATCTGATCACTGAAGTTAAGCAATGTCAAGGCTGGTCAGTAGCTGGATGGATGACTGCTTGAGAATAGCAGGTACTGTAAGCTTGAATGTGCAGGTGAGTTAATGTATAATGCTTAGAATGATAAAGAACAAATAGGAAACAAATAGTTGCTTGATTTTCATTAATTAATCTTTTTTCATATGCATTTCAATGAAATGAATACAATATGGGGACCAGTGATATATGGAGTACTAGCAAAAATAGTAGAAAATGGCTAAGGATGCATGGCCTAAAGGATAAAAACATTGGTTCAATCCAGTGACTTGATGCAAATAGTTGTGAGTTTAATGCCTGGCTACTGCAGAGGTGGCTAAAAACTTGGAGAGTTGATTTAAAGAGAGATAACTGAGACATCTTGAAGAGGCATGGCATGTGGACCAATCTATCCTGGTGGACAAAATAAAGGGTTGGATTCAAGATTCCAATCACTTGAAGAAGGATGGAGCATACAACATCCAAAATGTTGTGAATATGGCAATAAAGAGGAAGACAACAATCTGAACAATGTATATTTTCTAAATAATAATAATAATAATATAGTATCAAAAAATAATGTAAAAATAATTATTAATTTAAAATTACAACTGATGTAGGCAAGAAAATCATCTAAATGATCATATACAAAAATGTAAATGTTATTACTCATATAAAACAGAATCAACACTTCAGGTGTAAATTCTCCAAAATTAATGTTATTAGGTGATTTTAGATCTGTTTTTGTGTCTACACTTGAAGATAAGTTTGTTCCTTTAGTTCAATAATTCATTAGCGTTCTTATACTTAATCATTATGATTTTTTCCTGTATGTATAGATTGCATCTGTTCTGGAAGTTGTTGGGTGTCTGTGATTGACAGATGATTGTACACTTAATTTGTGGGGTGAAGCCGCCATCTTTAAGATTCCAATTATGTTTGGATAAAGCAGTTTGATATCTTAAGGAAACAGTGGAGAAGGAATACTGTTTATTGTAAAGTCTCTGCTTCCAACTCTCAGTGGATATCCCTATGTATACCTTTTCCATATTGATATTTTTTTCAGAATAATGGTAGCTTCATATAGCACATTTTCAGAATTACGATTGACTCAAGTGGGCAGATAGTTCAGCTTCTACAATTACAAGGAGGCTGTGATAAATTTCTTTCTTTTATATATATATATATATATATATATATATATATATATATATATATATATATATATATATATACATACACACACACACATGTGCACATACACTTATATATATATATATATATATATATAGATATATAAAGCCACTTTGAAAATGGTTAAAGAAGTGGCTGAAAGCACTTCGGACAATAAATATTATGGAAAATGTTTGTATTTTCTTACTCCTACAAAAACAGAAAAAATGTAAGAAAACTGGAAAAACTAAACAAAACATTAATTAAATCTGCTGCCCAAATATGCATTAATATATATATATATATATATATATATATATATATATATATATATATATATATATATTTGGTTGGATAGATGTGAGTTTGACCCTGGGTTTCACGTGAAACCCAGGGTAACAAAACTCACATCTATCAACAAATATGTTAGCTCTATCTCTGATATTGAGCGCTTTCTAATAAGTAACTCACATATAATATATAAATAATTATACATATATATATTCATTTATATTTATTTACACTTTTCACATATATATATATATATACTAGCAATAGAGCCCAGCGTTGCCCGGGGATGTAACAGTAAGAGATAGATCAAGTATCGACCATCATAAAGACTGAAAAATAAAATTGACAAAGATTATTGTTTAAGATTGACGGACACGCATGTCTTAATTAGTTTGTTTTTTTGTTTTTTTTTACGAATTAGTCAAACCCAAACTCAAACAAAAACATTGTTTTCAATCGTTATGAGTCTATCGATTGAATAGAATTTTATTATAAACAATTGTCTTGTAAATGGAATTTTTAAAGCATTCTGAATGTAAAAATAAAGAAAAAAGTGTGCAAGACAATAAGAAACACTACCTGCCAAAAAAAAGTGAAGTTTTGTTGAAATCGGTTGAAAAATGTAGGAAATCCGATCCCATATATAAAGGAACACACACACACAAACAACCTGGGATTTATAATAAGTATAACTCGATATGAGTTGTCCCTCTTTCATTTTGGCGACAGAATCGTGTTTTCAAATTGATTTCATGCAAAAACAATTGTGTTTTTCAATTTTTGGCACTGTCAGAACCACCTGCAAGGTAATTTTACACAGTCCTGAGAAGTTTTTTTTTGAAATCGGTTGAAAAATGTAGGAAATCGATCCAATATATAAACGTACAGACACACACACACAATCTGCGTTTTATAATTAATATATATATATATATATATATATATATATATATATATATATATATATATATATATATATATATCTCCGATTCCTCATTTCAAGCCACTATCTATATTACTCTGCCATGCCTCCATAGACACACACACACACACGCATATATATATATATATTACAGCAAAAAAAAACAAAAAATACTTCAACATAAGTATAGTCTATTTCAGACTGTTCTTCGCACTGATATTGTCAGCCTCTAAGTGCTTGTCTCAGAGTGTCATTCTAAATTTATTTTCAAAGTCAGTCTTGTTCTAGTTGGTGCCTTGTTAATGAGAGTGGGTTTGTGTTAGTGATTGGTAGGAGCATGAGGTATCTTATCCCAAGAGAAGTGGTCTGGTTTTGGAGTTTATTTATGGCCAGGATTTTTGTTTGTAGTTTAATATCAGTTCCTACTATATAGTTTTTTTTTTTTTTTTTTTTTTTTTTGATTGGCCCCGTGTGTGTTTTTTTTGGATTCACAGTAAATAGTTTTTGTACTACTAAGCAATGGGGGGATTTAAATTTAATTCTGTTAAGATTAATGTAAATTAGTTGAGTTATAGATTTATAGATTGTGGGTAATACCAGAGCACCCAATGGAATGACTTGTGCTGTCCAACATACTTATATGTGTCCATATCTTGATACAGACATATATGTGTACATTTACATGATCATACATACATGTCACTATATGTACACATATGCTCATACATATATGTGCCTGTATTTTTATGTAATTTGGAATTTATTTCTATGTCTACATTTTGTAAATTAGTTCCCTCCATTGATTTAATAGTTTGTTTAAAAAATCAGGATAATAAAATCTCAAGATCAGTGCAAACTTAAGGTTTATCTTTTTGTTGTTTCTCCCAAACCCTCTTCTACTATCCATTTACTCAAGCTCATCAAGTACGTTACGTGCTTCTTTCCTCTGTTTTTTCTTTCCGTCAATCTTTCCTGTGAGTATCAGAATTTTCACACCCTCCTTCCTCATTACATTCCCCAGAAACTTAAAATTGTCTCTTCCTGATATTAAGAATGGTCTGAAATAGACTATACTTATATTGAGGTAATTTTTGTGTTTTTGCTGTAAAACATATATATGCTCTCTTAAAATAACAACATTAAGCTCCCTGTGGATCATTTTTAATAATTAATATTTCTAGCATCCACCCAGATTATATACCAATGCATCGATTACCTATATATATATATATATATATATATATATATATGAAGAAATATAGTTTTAAGGTGTGCTATATTTCTGGGATAAACTGCTCAATATCAGAGATAGAGTGTATGTAAATATAAATATAAAAGTGAACATTGAAGTGAACACTCAGAGGGGACAGGCTGTTTCATACTGGATGATTGTGTTCAGCATGAAACAGCTTATTGCCTCTGACTGTTGACTTCAAAGTTTGCTTTTATTATATATATATATATATATATATATATATATATATATATATATATATGTATATATATATATATATATGCTGTGGTTATTGATGCTGAAAATTGAATTAGGGAGCTAAGTTCAAATTCAAGCCTAGACTGTCTTTTCATTCATTTCCACACTAATTCCCTTGGACAAAGACATAAATCTATCCATCCTTCTTCTTCCTACAGTACAAAAAGCAAAGTAACCTGATCCCTCGGGATTTGTGTGGTAACCAAACTACAAGAAGGAAAATTGAATGCAAAAACATGGAGAAAGCAATAGGAAAACACTTGACTGTCTTTGCCAAGATCTTGTGGCAATTTGCAATTAATAACGTAAAGGAAGCTGTAGAGAGCCATGATTGCCTACTTCCTGAAGAGAGATGGCATTAAAAAATTATATATATATATTTGTTGCAAGCAGAAAGAATTCTCTATTTTGTCCTTAGGGAAAGAAAAAAGCTAAGAAGGATTTTTCACCTGTTTTTCATCTTTAAATCAATACGACAAATCCAAAAAGAGTCGAGTGACTTGGGAGCAATGTGAATCACACTGGAAAATAAAATTAATACATCTGCTGCAAACAACCTTTTTCAATAGGGACAGTTTGCGTGCATTAATACCAAGTAACAATGCATGAATGGTGATGATGATGATGATGACGACAATGATGATGACGATGATGATAATGATGGTGATGTTAACTACTTCAGTTACAAAATCAACAATAGATCATGATGATGATGACAATAATAATAATAATAATGATAATAATAAAGAGAGAAAAGAGAAAAAGGAGATTATGATGATGGTGGTGTTGGTGTTGATAAATGTATTATTACTGTAGTAAAACTAAGATTATTAAATCTTCTGATTACAATCTCCAAAACTAATCAAGTTTATTAACCAAAGAAGCCATCAGTAATCATCTGGAATTAAGCATGAAAGTTAAAGTGAATTTATGATCTGCTACTTTTCATATTCTCGGAAAGTAAAGTTTGAATGTTTGAGACACTTATGAGTGTGTGTGTGTGTGTGTATGATGATGACGACCATGATGTCGACGACAATGATTCTTATGTCAATGATGATGATGGCAATGATGATTACTTCAGTTACAGAATCAACCATAGATCGTAGTAATAATAGATGAGAAAGGAAAGTAGATGAAAGAAAGTCATCAAGATTTGAAACATGAGATAGCAAACTTGTCAGGTGGGG